CGTCTATATTGGTGATATATGAACAGGACATTTGAGTATTTGCTGACAGGGTATGTTTTAGTAAGCCAATGCTTGCTGATGTGGCTTTTGTAGTAGCGCTTGGAAAGCTCAATTTACACAAACATTTTCAGCCATCAGTCCACAATGAACAACACATATGCATCAGAACATTGAGGTCCATATTTACTCTGTCAGGATGTATGAAGATTGGACATTTCATTCATTCATTTTCTTTCTGGCTTAGTCCCTTAATTAATCTGGGGTCGACATACTGGAATAACCACCAACTTATCCAGCATGTTTTACACAGCGGATGCCCTTACAGCAGCAACCCATCAGTGGGAAACATCCATACACACTCATTCACTATAGACAATTTAGCTTACCCAATTCACCTATACCACATGTTATCGGACTTGTGGGGAAAACCGAAGCACCCGGAGGAAACCCACGTCAACACGAGGAGAACATGCAAAATTCACACAGAAATGCCAACTGACCCAGCCGGTGGCCCAAAACCGATTGTGCTACCCACTGCGCCACCGTGCTGCCCATTGGACATTTCTGCAAAACGTTAAATATTCACAAGTTGCTATGAAAGTGTGTTGTGTAGTCATTTATTTTCCTTCGGCTTTGTCCCTTTAATTATCAGAGGTCGCCAAAGCGGAATGAACCGATAACTTTTCCAGAATATGATTTACACAGCAGATGCACTTCCAGGTGCAACCCACTACTGTGAAACACCCATAGACACTTATTCACACACATACACTATGACATAATTTTCCAATTCTGTTGTTTTAAAAAAAAGAGCCAATGACTTTTGATTTTATTGGTTTTAATGTAAATAAATCAGCAGTAGTTACATATTAAATGAGGATTTTCTTTTATTTTACTCAAACTCAACTTTGTAGAAAATTTATGGGAAAATAGTTTAAATCAGTGGTTCTCAAACTGTGGTACATGTACCACAAGTGGTACGCAGGGTTCCTTCTAGTGTTACGCGGAGGAATCGCTGAATAATTCAAGTAAAAACACTTTTGATTTTATTAGGCTAAACTTTTTATTTTATTTTTATTTTTCTTATGTTTGTTATGTACTCTATTATTTGAGGTTATTTTCCTCCCCATAATTGTAACGGTTGCTGGGGGCATATCTCGCAAATTTTTGTCCCAATTTTTGTCCCTGCGTGGGGCCCACCTGGGATGGCCCACTTGTTGCCCACCTAGAATGGCCCGCGTGGGGCCCACCTGGGCTGGCCCACCTGGGCTTGCCAAAAAATGCCTGGGCTAGAATCTGAACATTATTTACATTCATTTATTAATTTTCTTGTCACTGGGCTTGCCCGCGTGGGGCCCACCTGGGATGGACCGCGTGGGGCCTACCTGGGCTGGCCAGTATAATTATTCATAATAATACTTTACATTTAAGTACAGCAAAAGTTTTCTTTTAACGTTTCAAGAACAGGGCTATTTTTAATTAATTTTTAAAATCACATTTTAATTTAAATGTTGACATTCATTTATCTCTATTTTTAACTGTAGGTGTGATATTGTTCAAACTATTTATTACGTTTAAAGTGGCTGACAATAATACATTTTCATAAAAATAAGATTTTTTCTGCCACAATTAAGAACTGTGCAGAGCTCTAGCCTTTTATTTAGGCCTACCATGTATTTTAATACCAGTCATTAGGGTGGTACTTGGAGAGACAATTTTTTCTGAGGTAGTACTTGGAGAAAAAGTTTGAGAACCACTGGTTTAAATGCTTCTGCTGACAATCTAGCAACTACATTAATTATGAAGGGCAGAGATATTAAACATTTAATCAGCCCTAAATTTAACAAGCTGTACTTCACGGAGTAACCAGAAATGAAAAATAAAGCTTACAATCCTGCTCTTAAACTCTGGAACGATTTGCCCCTTTGCATTATATTGACACCACCTCGGTTTATTTTTAAATCTAAATTAAAAACTTTCCCATTTGACAAAGCTTTTAACACATGAACTGGGTTTTATCTTACTGACCTTCAAGCAGGTAAAAGTTTTTTTTTCTTTTATTCTTTGTATATTTTATTTTTGTTCTTCTCTTTGACTTTTGTTGTTATTGGTTTTTAGCTATTGTGAAGCACATTGGTCAACTTGGGTTGTTTTTAATTGTGCTGTATAAATAAACTGTCATTGCCATACAATCAACTTCATTCATTAATTTTCTTTTCGGCTTAGTCCCTTTATTAATCTGGGGTCACCACAGCAGAATGAACTTATCCAGCCCCAACCCATCACTGGGAAACATCTATACACACTACTCCACACACACTCATAAACTACAATCAATTTCAGCATACCCAATTCACCTATAGCTACCACATGTCTTTAGACTTGTGGGGGAAACTGGAGCAGCCGAAGGAAACCCATATGGACACGTGGAATACATGTAAATTTGATAGGATAGTGGAAAGGGATATTGTGAGCCCCCCTGTGCTACATGTATTGGTACTGACAACATAATTTCACACTTAGCTGATGCTTTATAAGGTAAATGCGTATTTGGCATGCTGTTCCAGGAGAGAGACCTAAGCTCGGAGGATCCTCAAGCCGGGGGCTAACTTATGTTTAGTCAGTTGAGAAAGCTGAGTCTGAGCTCAGGTAAGTCTTGAGAACTCCCCTGAATTAGGTTAGGAAAGAGGGGAAGAAGTCAGGGTGCATGGGAGGATTCTTCAAGATGAAGATGGCTAAGGTAAGGACATCAGGTTATTTATGTGCGTTTGGATTCATCTGATTGGTATATAGTATGATTGTTACTGCAAGACCAGTCATGGTCAATCATAAGCATGTGATCCTCTCGAAATTTTCCTTCGGCCACAGCGGAACAACCACCAACTTATCCAGCATATGTTTTACACAGTGGATGCCCTTTCAGCTCAACCAAGAAACATCCATACACTCTCACATTCACACACACTCAAACACAACGGGCAACTTAGTTTACTTAATTCACCTATAGCGCATGTCTTTGAAATGTAGGGAAAACCAGAGCACCCAGAGGAAACTCACAAACACACAGGGAGAACATGCAAACTCACCACAGAAATGCCAACTCACCCAGCCGGGACTAGAACCTTCTTGCTGTGAGGCGATGGTGCTAATCACTGCGCCACCATGTCGCCCTCTTGAAATTCATTCATTCATTCATTTATTTTCTTTTCCAGTTATTCCCTTTATTTATCAGGGGTCGCCACAGCGGAATGAACCACTAACTTATCCAGATATGTTTTACGCAGCGGATTCCAACACCGGGAAACACCGACACACTCTTGCATTCACACACACATACACTCGGCCAATTTAGTTAATCCAATTCACCTATACCGTATGTCTGTGGACTGTGGGGGAATCCGGAGCACACAGAGAAAACCCAAAAACACATAGGGAGAACATACAAACTTCACACAGAAATGCCAACTGGCCCAGCCAGGACTAGAACCAGCAACCCTCTTGCTGTGCTGCGACGGTACTAACCACCATGTCGCCCTCTCAAAATTAGTTTAAAAAAAAAACTTCACTAAGTTTTATCCAGCCTCAGCCAGCAGTCCAAGTATTTATTTAGTTTTGCCTGTATATGTTTTTTTGATGTTCAAAATCCTGATCTGAATCACCAAGGACCCTTGTTTAAGCTAATAAAATAAATACTAAATTAAAAAGCCACCTACATCTTGAACAGCCTTAGGGTGATTATATTACGAGAAATTCTCCTTTTTTTTTAGCTTGAACTACCCTTTCAGCAATCAACCAATGAAAAGGGAGAATTTTGAGAGAATTTAGAATCTAGATTATCATACCCGTAGCTAAAGTAGGAGGGGTTCGGTTGGTTCAAACTGAAAGACTCTGACAAAGGTCCAGAATTTTCACATGTACTTTTTACAGGTGAGGCTAGAAAAATCAGGAAGCTCTACACAGTATTACTATTTTGTTTTAATATTTCTATTATTCAAGTGGCCAAATTCTGACAAGAAAGTTAATTGTGCTGACCATTTTGTTATTTGCCTAATAAGTGCCAATTTACTTTGCCCTAATAAGCAGTTTTTAATTTAAAGTCTTAACAAATTCCTCAACTCTGTTTGCGTTTTTGTGTGGAGTTTAAATGTTCTCCCTGCATTCACGTGGGTTTCCTCCGGGTGCTTTGGTTTCCCCCATAGTCCAAAGTCATACAGTACAGGTGAACTGGGTAGGCTAAATTGTCCGAAGTGTATGAGTGTGTGTGTGAATGTGTGTGTGGATGTTTCCCAGAGATGGGTTGCGGCTGGAAGGGCATCCGCTGCGTAAAAATGTGCTGGATAAGTTGGCGATTCATTGCACTGTGGCGACCCCGGATTAATAAAGGGACTAAGCCGACAAGAAAATGAATGAATGAATGATTGATACTTAATGTGAATGCTAAATAATGCTAAATTTAGAATGCTAAATCTTAAGAAAATGTTTTTGGTACATTAAAAAGTGTGGTTATGATGACCACCCGACAAGACTGTCCAGCTAAAAACGGTGCTTAAATTGTCACTAAAATGCAGCATTTAAACCTCATAGGTTAATTCGAAATGAGGGGAATAACTGAAAAAGGGTCCAAAAAAGAACCAGCCCTTTCAGCAAGCTGACTATAGGCCTGAATATACTTTCCATTCTCCAATTTCAAACTCACCAGCCACTATTTAACATTTAAATCACTATTATCAATCAAATGAAAAAATCTTACCGCTAAATCCCGTATTTAATTTATAAAAATAAACTAACCAATGATTAAAAAACATTGACATTCTTCAAAAGCATCTCTTTGTATCCTTAAATAGAGATAGAGTCATGCAGAGTCATGCAGGTTTGGTTTTCTGTACTCTTCTGGAAGTCCTAAGCTGTCCTGCTGATCGAGAAGGCTGATCTACCACCAGTCTTCCACACTGTGAGCATGTGTGATGATGTCATTCAATCTCCTTAGCTCCGCCCACAGCCCCTTTAACACTCGGTCATTCCTTCACTACACACACTGCAATGTTATTTCTATAGTGTTCATGATATTCCTCATCTGTCTCTCTCATCTTGTGTGTAAGGATGTCACCGTGGCGTTTCCTGATTTTATTGAGCATCTTTCTGCTTTGTAAAGGTAAGAGATAGGACAGGACTCTGTCCAGTAGATTACAGATATAATTTGCTTAACTATGATCCACTGACTTCCTGTCTGGAGCTTGTCTGCTGGTTTTGAGATGTATTTAGCCAGAGCTTTTCCATTTCTGATTCAATATTTTGTGTTTAACTGTGTGATGAGATTCAACAGGTGCATGTTATAAAAAAAGACCTTTTAAAATTTTGGATTTACTATGCACACTGTAAAAAATATGACTAAAAAGTCATAATTACAAATGTTTAAATGCTACTTCAACTTGTTTTAATGAACTAATCTAATTACAACTGAATATTTTTAAGCTGTACAATGTTTAACTTATTATTTTAGTCAATTTTATTGATGTAAGTCAATGATCAAGTACTTTAATCTTTGTAGGTGTTTCAATAAAATATTAATATTAAACTACAACCAAGTTTGAGTGTAATAAACAAATTCAGACAATGTTTTCAATAGAGTTATTGAATGAACATAAGAAAACGGATTTAAATAATTAGTTCAAGTTGCTTGATTTTATTAACAGCCTTATAAGAAATTATTAAAAAGGAACATTTGCTAACACTTTACAATTTGAGACAGGTAGTAAATGTTAATATATTTACTAACATAAACAAAGAATGAACAATTTATGAACAATTAACATTTATTGGGCAGGTTATTTCACTGTGGCGACCCCTAAAAAAAGATAAGACACAAAAAGCAAAATGTGGAATATATGGATTATAAATTATTTCAGTGCCACCCTGAAGAGACTTAAGGTCTTTTCAGATGTTCTTTTGTTATTTTAACATGTATATTGTGAAATTTACGTTTGTTTCCTTGAGTAAATTTGCATATGTTTGTAACACATGTACACTGCTGAATATAAGCGTTTAATGCAAATTTATGCATTGTGTCATATCACTCAGCTCTTACTGTGATTTTTCTGGACTGAAAGGAAAGCAATAACCTCATAAAACTCATCTGTTTATGTGGAGGTTAAATTATACATATTACAATATATTATAATTAATATATATTAATGTATTATATACTACAAAATATTGCAAATACTTAGTTGGCTCTTCCAAGTATGGTCAAAATGAACCATATCAAATAAGAGCCAATTCCTAGGTTTGTAATTGCACCTGTAAAATAATTTTGCACTCAACTAAGGGTCGAAATGAACAAAAAATTTAATTTATTAATCATATAGTTTACATAGTTCAAACTGTGTGCTTGTTAACATTAGATGACATTAGTAAAATGAAAGCTATTTTCATGAACTAACATGAATAAATACTTGAATGAATGTATTTTTTATCATTTGTTTGCTCATGTTAGTAAATCAAGGTTTCTGCAGGTTTCACTAAGTTAAATTTAAGACTTTAAGAGATTTTTAAGACCATTATAAACTACATTTTAGACTCATAAAGGGCTAAACACTAAGGTTTTTTTCAAATGGCTCAGATGGAAAAGATTTTTATTTGCCCTTTCAAAAAATTATTATAATTTAATAATGCATTAATAATTTAATAATAAAAAATGTCCATATTGTAGATATTTCTTAGCAAAATATTTAAATATTGTGTAAAAACTAACAAGCTCTACTTGTATTCATACACTTTTTTCCCCAACATAAACTTTCTTTAAAATAATTTTAAAAAACTAAAAGTTAATAATAATCTAAACGAACGCACAACAATCTGTCCAGGTCGGTGTCCTCAGAAGTAAATACATGGAGCACTTTTAGACAAATTTTATTTTAAGAAAAATAATTAAGCCATAATGGTAAATAAAGTATTAATGGCCAGATGGGTAGCAATACACGAGCAAAGGAAAACTAAGAAAAAAAGGTAAAAAAAAAAAAAAAAAAAGATACAACACAACATTTTAGCAAAACCTTTTAAGGCCTAAAATTTTTAACTTGAGACTTAAGACTTTTTAAGACCCATCAAACAGCCTGTTAATACCTTATTTGTTCCATATTGTTAGGTGTGACTGGAAAAATTCAACTATATCAAAACATTTTGACTTAAACTGCAACAAACCTAGCCTGAACATTACTATAATTCACCTGTGTATAAACGTTTGCCATTAATTAGTTCAGAACAACATTTTAAGCTAATCTTCAGATTTCAGGTCCTGTTAAATGTGACCAAATAGGCTATTAGTTTGTGGCCTATATTTACTAATTTTATTTTAGTAGTCTGCTTAAATTGGTAACACTTGCAGATGGCAGACATAACAGATGAGGGTTAAATACAATAAGCTCATGTGACTCGACACCTGTAATAATGGCAGATCTTTCCAGTGCTGGGAGAGGAACATGTGGAAGGAGAAGTGGGATGATCTGCTTTTTTATAGAAGCATGATCCAATTGTGCCTTACGTGCAGAGGCTAATTACAGAGCACAAGATGATCTCTAGGGTCGCAAATCTACAAGGAAAACCTGAGAGGCCACGTGGCTTATTTATGAAGTGGATGCAGCATATGAGGTAAAGATATGCAAGATGAATTGAAGAAGATTGTCATGCAGGAAGAGAAATGGATGCATGAAACACTGATGCTTAATGACGCACGGGAAGATGAAGCGGGAACTGGGTCGCTGAAATCCAGGCTTACTTGACTTGATCAGTCTATGTCAATTTTGGGAAAGAATAAGAGAGGATGAGAATAGAGACTATCAGGAATTTGATAAAACTCAAATTATTACTTTTATTTAACTTATTTTCACTAGTTTAAAGCTTAATGAAATGACATATGCAAGCAAATTATGTTAGAAGTAATATTATATCTAACTTTACATAAAATCTTCTCAATGTTTAATCAAAGTCATAATAAATGCTACCATGCTACCTTTGCTATAGCATGTTAGCAATGTTTTGAACTGTAGAAATTATCTATCTATCTATCTATCTATCTATCTATCTATCTATCTATCTATCTATCTATCTATCTATCTATCTATCTATCTATCTATCTATCTATATCTATCTATCTATCTATCTATCTATCTATCTATCTATCTATCTATCTATCTATCATCTATCAGCTTAGGAAATGCTAACCTTGTCATAAGTAGCATGTAATGTGATGAATTGTAGAAACATCAATAGTCTGACACTCCATACATCACTAGCAAAGCTAAACCATCACCTCAGGAAATAGCCTAGCACGAACATGCTAAAACATTTTAGCATTTAGAAAAATATGTTAGAAAAAGTGCGCTAAATCATGATAACTGATGCTCTATCTATCCATCTATCGCCTAATAATCAGCTTAGGTCAGTGATTGTCAAACTGTGGTACGGGTACCACTAGTGGTGTGTAGGCTTCCTTCTAATGGTACACGGAGTAATACTGAATAATGAATGGAAAAATAAAATTAACATACTATTAACCCTTTGACTCGAACGATTACACTGATGTGATCAGCACCGGTTGTTTCCTGAAGCGTCCGATCGCATCAGTGTGCTTAGAATGTTCACTTTAGTTCATTACATTTTCAGATGCTAAAAATCAACCCACTTTGGCGCAGAGCCAGAGAAAGAGCTTTCCGCGGCGCTTGCGGAGCAGATAGACGCTAGAGACGCGTTTTTGCAAACCAGTGCTGTTGTGTTGGCATTTCAGTTACTGCATGCTGCATCATTGGTGAAATAATTGGCACACATGTGTTTTTAAAAAAAGTGTGTTTGTAGTTAACACAAAAAAATTTAAATAATGCATGTTTTCGATATATAAAGTTATTTGTTTTGTAAAGCAGAGTGGCTTTCGATTAATTTGTTACCTCAGATTTAGGCTAATTTATCTGGATGTGATTTAAATGTCACTGGACACAGAACATAAACTCAAGCAACTTTGCCATGCTTGAAGCTTGGAGCTAGAATATAGCCTAATTAAAGTCAGTCTCTGTGTGTGGTAAACACAAACTCCATGGCCCACTTAAGACGAGATCTCAAATCATGGAAAATCCACATGTATGAATGGATAAATCATGTATGAATTGGTCAAGCAGTGTATTTCTGTCTATAATTACTCACTTTTCTGACAAATGTACTTTAAAGGACGCGCAGTAAGCAGATCTAATTTCTAATTTAAATATGTAATTCCAAATCATTTATTTTAAATTACAAGTTAATGCTTAGATTTTAAAGATATACAAATAGATATACAAATATTTCAATTAATCTGCCTTGTCATTATGGTGGTACTTGGAGAGACCATTTTTGAGGTGGTACTTGATGAAAAACGTTTGAGAACCACTGGCTTAGGAAACATGCTAGCAGTTCATGAAGATGTAAACAGTGTGCTAATCTGTCTGATAAAACTTGCTAGCAATGTGTTAAACTATACAATCCATCATTTAAAGTGCACACCTGTAAGCAAGTGTCTTTTATCATCAGGTGAGGACAATGACTGCGACAACTTCACAGATCTGGACTTCCACGAGTCTTTCATAGGGACCAATCTATACGTGCGCCTGCTGCTCTACACCCGTGCCAACCTCGAGTGTGGTCAGGAGCTACCACACCACAACTTCACCCAACAACCCCTTTTTAACGTAACCAGACCCACCACCTTTGTCATCCATGGGTACCGACCCACTGGGGCACCGCCAATCTGGATCAACCACATCGTACACCTGCTAGCAGCTCAGAAGGACATGAACATCCTGGTAGTGGACTGGAACAGAGGAGCAGCAAACCTCAACTACTTAACAGCAGTGGCCAACACACGGGGCACGGCTCTGAACATCACCCGCTTCATAGAGAGCATGGAGGTATAGAGTCAGCGGTTGTTCCTATGCTGTTTGAGTATTGAATATTGTTTCTGGGTCCAAGTCTTTACTCATTTGAATTGCGATAACTTTGTCTCTATAGCTGTTTATGTGCTTCATTTGGTCATATCACACATTAAAGGAGAATAAAAATCTGGATATACAGTTGAGGTCAGAATTATTAAACCCCCTTGAATATCTTTTTCTTTTTTAAATATTTCCCAAATTATGTTCAACAGAGCAAGGAAATTTTCACAGTATGTCTGATAATAATATTTGGTCCCACTTCATATTAAGTGGCCCTAACTAATATGTACTTACACAGGAATTAATAGTTTGTTACAATGTACTTATTGTGTAAATACATGTATTTACTTTGTACTTATGCATGATTAATACATGTATGTAATTACATATGTAATTAACTTTTGTAATTACATTGATAAATACACTGTTGACCATCCCTTACACCTTAACCTACCCTTCCACTTACCCATGCCACCAAACCTGTCCATAACCCAACCTCTATCCCAACTCAAATGCACCACAAGTGTTCTCAAATACATTATAAACACAGTAAGTACATTGCATTTATTTTTTGATGTAAGTACATAGTAGTTAAGGACACTTAATATAAAGTGGGACCAAATTTTCTTCTGGAGAAAGTCTTATTTGTTTTTTTTTTTTTAGCTTAAATAAAAAGCAGTTTTTTATTTTTTTAAAAACATTAAGGTCAAAATTATTAGCCCCTTTAGACTATATATTTTTCTTGATTTGTCTATAGAATAAACCATCGATAAACAATACATTGCCTAATTACCCTAACCTGCCCAGTTAACCTAATTAACCTAGTTAAGCCTTTAAATGTCACTTTAAGCTGTATAGAAGTGTCTTGAAAAATATCTTGTCAAATATCATTTATTGTCATCATGGCAAAGTAAAAAAAATCAGTTATTAGAAATAAGTATTTATTGTGTTGAAAAAAAAAATCTCTCAGTGAAACAGAAATTGGGGGAAAATAAACAGGAGGCTAATAATTCTGACTTCAACTGTACCTAGGCATAGCTGTATAATTAAGAATTCAGTACATGGAAACGGCATACAGTAAGCCACAACTCGATTGTTTATTCATCTAAAAGACAGACACCTCAGGCAACATTTAATTGGCTACAAGGTTTCCTAGTGAGATTACAACAATAATTTCCTCCTATTTTAAGTTTGTCTAAGCTTGTATCATTAATATGTTTGTGAGGCTTTTATTCTGAAAATGAAGGCTTTAAGAAAGAGTGAGCAGTTCTATTCTCACCACAAAAGAAAGCAAAATGTGGGATATACAGATTATAAATTTATTCAGTGCCACCCTGAAGAGACATATGGTCTGTTCAGATGTATCTTTTGTTAGTTTAACATGTATATTGTCGTATGTTTCATTGCGTACATTTGTGTATGTTTGTAATGAAGCAACAAACACATGTACACTGCTGAATATAAGAGTTTAATGCACATTTATGCATTGTGTCATATCACTTATCTCTTACTGTGATTTTTCTGAAAAGGAAAGCAATAACCTCATAAAACTAATCTGTTTATGTGGAGGTTAATATATATTATACATATTTTAATACATATTATAATATGACTAATATTAATTACAAAATACCTTAAAGTTGCCCCCTCCAAATATGGTCAAAACCAACCATTTCAAAATAGTACCAATACAAATTCAAAGTACCAATTCCTAGAGTTTCTGAAAAATTTTGCATTCACCTAAGCCAGGGGTTCCCAAACTTTTCATCCCGTGACCCCCAAGTTTACAATGCCATTGACTTCGGACCCCCAATACCCTCTGAGGTGGTTATAAATACATAAACCTTACACACACCAGCACACACATACATTAGACCATGTTCATTTATCGTTTATCGAATACAGGGTTTGGACACAGAAACTGATTTGATTTCAGCGTGAAATAATGGATGTGTTGGAATCTTTCAGAAAGAGGGAGCCTCTCTTGACTCTATCCACCTGATTGGTGTGAGCCTTGGGGCACATGTGGCTGGTTTTATTGGCGCAATGTTGGGAGGACGAGTGGGCAGAATCACAGGTGAGATTTAGGCCTCGTTTACACACATTTTTGAAAAAAAACGATCCACGTCCACACTGGCGTTTCCCCTAGCGTTTCTGAACAGATCTCTGTCCACACTACACTGAAAATGCACATCACGTGACACCACACACACTCTGACATGCACTACAGCGTATGTGGAGGTCTGAGCTCCAGGTAGTCAGCATGTACTTTGAGCACAGCTTCCTGGCTGAGAGCAGCGTAGGTCGGACAGTTCATCAGGGATTTTCCACTGGATTTAATTTCACTATAATTGTGAATGTAATATTTAATTCATCTGGTGTTTATCTAATGGTCTGAATCTATTACTTGTTCTCAGGTAACGCGTTTTGGCTGAGTGCAGAGATAAGTTAATTAATTTATGTAACCACTTACACTAATTCTGCACATTTGACTTTTATAATGGCCTTATTGCTTATTGAAACTGATATTTAGCAAAAGAGAGGGTATGTTTCATATTTTATAACGAAAATGAAAGGAGGCAGTTATATTATAGGCTCCGTTTTGTTCTAAATGTAGTGAAGATGACGCTCATATAAATATGTAGCTACAACATGCCTCAAAATTTTTAGTGTTTAGTTAGTTAATATCAAAATGAAAATAGGCAGTTCCTCATATCATGTTTTCTTTTTATTGTTAAGATAATGAAACAACATAGCCAGGATGATGCGAATGACGTAAAATACACTGTTTTTACCTGACGTGTCCTCGGGAGTTTGTTTTTCATATCAAACTTGCGAAGTCTGAACTTCAGGAATGGGTACAAGACTGAACTTTGTGCACTTAAAATTGTGGGTAAAGCCCCAATAAGATAGGCGAATGTCTGCAGTCATGCCTCCGATTTCAGATGTCTCTATCTTCCCCCATCCACACTAACACGGAGCAGCAGCATTTTAAAGTAAAAACGGCATCTTCTGGATTTTTAAAAAGCTCTGTTTTCGGGTAGTGTAGACAAAAGCTGTAACCGCAGCAAAATCTATGCATTTTAAAACTAAAACATATTAATGTAAACGGGCAAAGAAACACAACTGACACTTCAAGAGAGTCCAGTAAAAAAAAATTTAAAATCTATCATCATTTACTCACCCTCCTCTTTGTCCCAAATCTTAGGGCGTGTGTCCACCAAAGTGTTTTTTTTTTTCCCAAGCTGAGTTTTTTTCTATCGTTCTTAATAGAAGTGCAGCATTTTTGAAAATGCCAGCAGTCTTCTATAAATGCTCAGCTGCCGAAAATCATGATGGTGTCAGATCTGTCACCTTTTTAAAAATTCTCAATGCCAAGTGTAAAATTCAAGCTAAGCTGCTGGCATTTTCAAAAACGTGGTGGTTCCATTGACAACAATAAAAAAAATATCTTAAAAGCTAGGGGGGAAAAAAAAACGTTTTCAGGGGCCATGCATCCTTAATTTCTTCTGAAGATCACAAAAGTAAATATTGCGTAGAATGTTGTAAACTGGTAACCATTTACTTCCACATTTTTTTTTTAGTTAATGGCTCTCGGTTTCCAACATACTTCAAAATATCTTCTTTTGTGTTTAACAGAAGACAAACTCATAATAGTTTGGAACCAAGTAAATGTCAGTAAATAGTATGTTTTCAGTGTCGTGTCAGGTGAACTGTCTCAGTTAGTTAATCATGTTGAGTAATGAAGTTTGCCCTGCGTGCTTGCGTTAAAAAAAAAAATTATAATTTCGGTGCTCTAATCTTGTCAATAATATTATTTAGAAGGTCATGATTCACACTCATTAAATAATTGCTTTGTATTGTTTTTATTTTACATTCTTCAAGTGAAACAAAACACAGACGTTTCGGCACAATGCCTTCCTCAGTTAGTTAATCATGCTTACTAAATTAAGCTTTACTTGTCTACTGTAGGTCTGGATCCAGCAGGGCCAATGTTTGCCAGTGTTTCGCCTGAGGAACGTCTCGATCCAACCGATGCCCAGTTTGTAGATGTGCTGCACACAGATATGAATTGTAAGTATGATAATTCTGAAGATACTCTATATATTCACATACAGCTATGGCTATATATGTGTGCATTTAAAGTAAGCTGCCTAATATAATGTAGGAAAAACAATACAGGAGACACCCACTAAATATCATTAAATCTAACAATAGTTTTCATTCCTAAAAGTATTGTCAGGCAAATTATTTTGAACATTTTTAAAAGTTTTTTATTTTTTATTTTGCATTGCTATTCCATGAATAAATATAAAATATTTTAGTAGGGCAATCAAACTTTTTACATAACCAATGTTGCCATGTTTAATCATGTCACATTCAATCCAGTCATTAATTGGATAGGATCTAAGGTCATTTATCACATTAGAAATGTCAATGCTAAAACAGTACTACATAGCATGCCAAAATTAGCCTAACAATCCTATGCTCTGTTTCCTGTGGCAGCCTTTGGCCTCAGAGGAACGCATGGTCATATTGATTTCTATGCCAATGGAGGATTAGATCAGCCGGGATGTCCCAAAACCATCTTCTCAGGTCAGTACGTTAAGATTAAACTTTTGGGAGAGGTCAGGGTGGAGATACAAATTATTCAGTAGAATCAGCATCCCAAAATAATTCAGTAGAATCAGTTAAATTATTTTAGATATCACATAAAATGCTAAATAAAATGCAAAAATCTGGTTTTGTAATTAAATTTTTACACAATAAGTAAAAAATAAAATAAAGAAAAAACTAATAGTATCTTTTCCACTTGATTATATTAATAATTACAAACATTTTTGTATTACAAGTTTTCTAAAAATGCTATATTGAAATATGCAAATAAGCTATTATTTAATTAAATAAGTGAGAAATTTGCACACACTTCTAGTACAAAAAGAAATCAACACTGGATGAAGTTGTATATAAAATGAACTTAATCAGTATATTATGTTTGAATATACACTCACCGGCCACTTTATTAGGTACATGTGTCTAACTGCTCGTTAACGCAAATTTCTAATCAGTCAGTCACATGGCAGCAACTCACTGCATTTAGGTATGTAGACAAGGTCAAGATGATCTGCTGCAGTTCAAACCGAGCATCAGAATGAGGTAGAAAGATGATTTAAGTGACTTTGAACATGGTTGTTTGTGCCAGACGGGCTGGTCTGAGTATTTCAGAAACTGCTGATTTACTGGGATTTTCACGCACAACCATCTCTAGGGTTTAAAGAGAATGTTCTGAAAAAGAGAAAAAATCCAGTGAGCGGGAGTTCTGTGGGTGCAAATGCTTTGTTGATGCCAGAGGTCAGAGGAAATTGGCAAGACTGGTTCCAGCTGATCGAAAGGCAGCAGTAACTCAAATAAACACTTGCTACAACCGAGGTGTGCAGAAGAGCATCTCTGAATGCACAACACGTCCAATCTTAAGGTGAATGGGCTGCAGCAGCAGAAGACCGGGTGCCATTCCTGTCAGCTAAGAACAGGAAACTGAGGCTACAATTGGCACAGGTTTACCAAAATTGAACAATGAAAGATAGGAAAAATGTTGCCTGGTCTGATGAGTCTGGATTTCTGCTACAGCATTCAAATGGTAGAGTCAAAATTTAGCGTCAACAACATTAAAGCATGGATCCATTCTGCCTTGTATCAATGGTTCAAGCTGGTGGTGTTGGTGTAATGGTGTGGGGGGTATTTACTTTGCACACTTTGGACCCATTAATACCAATTGAGCATTATGTCAAAGCCACAGCCTACCTGAGTATTGTTGCTGCCCATGTCCATCTCTTTATGACCAGTGTACCCACCTTCTGATGGCTACTTCCAGCAGCATTACACATCATGTCATAAAGAGCAAATCCTCTCAGACTGGTTTCTTGAACAAGACAATGAGTTCACTGACCTTAAATGGCCTCCACAGTCACCATAGCTCAATCCAATAGAGCACCTTTGGGATGTGGTGGAGATTTCCATCATGGGTATGAAGGCCGACAAATCTGCAGCAACTGTGTGATGCTATCATGCCAATATAGACCAAAACCTCTGTGGAATATTTCCAGTCACTTGTTGAATCTATGTCATGAAGGATTAAGGCAGTTCTGAAGGCAAAAGGGGGTCCGACCCTGTAGTAGTAATAAGATGTACCTAATAAAGTGGCTGGTGAGTGTATACCTATGTAAAAAAAATGTAACATACACACATGATTAAAAGTTGCTGGAATAGAGATTTGTAGCTCAATGCAGAGGGAAAAAAATTATTTTGATAAAACAGAAATGTTTTAAAATAGAAATCTACTGCTAGTCAACTGATGTGTGATCAAATAAACACTTAAGAGCATTGCAGATGTATTCTTAACATTAAACTGGAAAAAAGGAGAGAGAAAAAAAGACTATGGAAAGCCAAAAAGCCCCGTCTCTGAAAGTGTATTACACACATCTTGCCTTACATTATGTAATCCATACAATGGGACTGAATTCAATATACTATTACGTTAAACAGGCAACAGGGCTAAAGATCTAATCTAATTTCTCTTTACCTTCACCACAGGGAAATCTTATTTTGTGTGTGATCACCAGAGGTCAGTGTTTCTGTACCTGTGCTCTCTGAATCGCACCTGCAGTCTTACGGGATACCCGTGTTCATCATACAGTGACTTCCTCAGCGGCCAGTGTTTGCAGTGTGAGACCTTCAAGCCCGCTTCCTGTCCTGTTTTAGGTAAACAGACCTAGTAAACCATGATTTTATGCGTGACATTTGTTTGAAACAGCTCTAACGCTTTAGTCGTGTGGGGTAATATGAAAGGAAGTTAGGGCCAAAAAATGTTGTATTTATGACTATATTTGCACAAAAGGAGGGTACATGGTGAGTAACCTATTCAAATGTCATGTTTCTTATTGAGATATCACTGTAGATGCCTAAACCACAAAAAAGATACTTTTATTATGTTTCACAGGGTTTGATTTAAGACTTTCAGCCACAACTGCCTTCCATAGAGACATATTTTATGGATGTTTTTTTATGGAAGGCAGTTGGGGTCAAAACTACGGTGGCTGAGAGAGCTTAATGTGCTGCAACTATTAAAAAAAAAAAAAAAAAACGCTAGCAAATTGAGAAAAGATCTTCATCCATTTGAAAGCACACATGCTGCATAGTCACAACACAAAAATTATAAAACGCACTGCATTTTACACAACACAAACATTAAGAAAATGCGCTGCATTTCACACACAACAGAAATGTTTCAAGGAGACCCTAAAACGTGACGGATCCTGGTTATGGAGGTTTAGGTTATTTAGGCTAATTAATACTAAAAACATTAGTATTGGGTAAACAAACACAAACAAACAAACACACACACACACACACACACACACACACACACACACACACACACACACAAAAACTCACCTTTTGAAGATCTCATAAAACTTCAACGTTGTCCGTCATGTTTTTGGGCCCCCTAGAAACATTTCCATTGTGTTCCATTCTTTATGTGTTGTGAGAAATGCACCACGTTTTATTAAGGTTTGTGTTGTGTGAATTGCAGGGCGTTTTATAGTGTTTGCGACTTTGCGTTGTGAGGATTTGCAGTATGTGTGCTGTCAAACGGATGAAGATCTTTTCGTAATTTGCGGGTGTGTTTTGTAATTTCACGTGTTTTATTAAATTGCAGCATGTTAAGCTCTCTCGGCCACTGTACAAAACCATGTTAAAGCCAGCATCTTTAATGAGTTTCTCCACTGCGTAGACAGTTTGACTGTGTTGAGGTGGCAATTTTTATAGGTGATATAACACTTTTTGTTTGCATGCATGCCAGAACATTAGTATATTTCCAGTATGCAAATAAAGTTTGAAATATATTTATTTAATTGGCTGTTGTGATCATGGATGTGCTATCAGTGACAAACTGTGTTGATGCAATCATATTAAATACATTTTTATTTAAAAGCCTTCAGGCCATTCACCCTCTAAATATTTTGTAATTCAAAGATAGTTCCCCCAAAATGTACATTTACTCCCCTTTAAGTGGTTCTAAACCCTAAGTTTATCTTTTCTGTTGAACACAAAATAAGCTATTTTGAAGAATGTTAGACCACTGACTTCCATAGTATGAAAAACAAATACTACAGAAGTCAGTGATTACAGGTTTTCAACATTTTTCAAAAAAACTTACTTTGTGTTTTACCGGAGAAACTCAAACAGATTTGTGACAAGTGAAGAATAAATGGCAGATTTCAGATGGCTTATTCAGACACATTCAGAAATTATGATCACGTTTACCTGATTTATGAACATTTGCAGACAAAACTCAATTTCAACAGAAATTTAGGTATTTGGGAGTTTCACATTAAAAAGAAAATGTCCACTAATATGGAAGGCAATTGGGGCCAAAACTTCAAAACATGAACTCTGGTATGCAGTTTGAGCAAGTAAACAAATATCTAATGTTTGCATCATACCAGTTTACCATTACAATATTTTTCGAACATGAACATTACATCTGATATTTGTAGCTTGCATAAAAATACCCTCTTGCTTCATGAATGTAAATAAAATCGCTGACAATATCAAGCAGTGTTTTGCTTAACGGCTTCTGACAACAATTATGAAACAACAAAATGTAAATAACTTGTATAATTTTCCTCCCTAGGTTATGACCTCAGCCAATGGAGGGACACGCTATTAAGACTAGGACAAACTAGAGCATATTTCTCAACAACAGCAGAACTCCCCTATAGCAGTGAGTTATCATAACCGTTCAATTAGTTTCCTCATAAGGCAGTTTGTGCCATAATGTTTTTTCTCTTTTGAACAGAGACGAGTTACAGAGTGGACTTAGTTACCTGGAACCAGTTCCTACGCTGGGGAGTGGTCATACTCCGACTGCACAATGGGAAAAATGTAACCGAGGCACACATAGACAAGTATGTATGAATTTAAATACCACAGACCCGTCAGTATTTGGCTTGCTGTCCTGTAACTGTTGTTTCATGTGATTTGGTTTAGCAAACTGATGAGGTTTGAGCAGTATACCTCCACTCGGCTACTGGCGCAGTTTGATGAGGATCTATATCCAATTCAGAAAATATCATTACGGATCGTCACTGGAAATGTTATTGGACCTCGATACAAGATAAGGCTGCTTCGTATACGGATCTCTCCACTGGAAAAACCATACAGGTTAACATCTAGTTGTTTTATTTCTCAGTTAATTACTGTAATTTGGATGCATCCTGATAAAGCACAGGCATTTAATCATGTTTTTTGTTTTTACTTGTCTCCAACAGGTCGCTAATGTGTCGATATGATATCATTGTGGAGGAGAATGCGGAGGTGTCTTTCAAACCCTTGCCCTGTCATTAATTTCCTCTGTGGAAGAAAACACTATCATACTGAAATGCCTACATGTACTAAACAGTCTTTTAAAGAAAATTTTAAAGTGTTTGAAAACTTTTAGTGCCTTTTACTATGGATTAAAACTGTGATTTTGAAAGCACTAGTGTCTTAATGAACACTGAATTGTGTCTAGCATCACATTTGTAACTTAAATGTTATACTAAACCAGAGTTGCCCAGACCTTTTTATATGTAGGGCCAAAAACCAAATATCATTGATAGCTGTGGGCCGAAGATAAACATACCAAACTATTTTACATTAAAGCTGCCATGGGTAATTTCCTGACTCCTTTCAAAATATTTGCCTTGATTCATTTACCAAAGGTTCTGCATTGTCCTCTATGCATCATATGTACATTTTAAACTAGGTCTGATTGCTTCACACCATTTAAATTGTAACATTTAATTTCCGATAGCTTTTTTGTAGCTTAATAATAAAACAAATAAACGGTTACATTAAATTTGATGACATTGACAAGGACAATCTCTAAACCATTCTCAGATGGGATGGCGGGCAAATTCAAATGTTACCATGGGCCATTGATGGCCTGCGGGGCCTAGTTTGGGCGTCTCTGTGCTAGGGTTGCATAATACTGAAATTAGTTACCAATCGATACTAAAATTTTCAAAACTTTTATTTTGTGCAAACATTTGAGCACGTTCTTAAACGGTGCTGATTTGCCATCTTGTTCATGCGCTCAACAGAAATGACTGATTGGCTGTGAAGGTCATCAGATACAGGGACACTGGAGCATTCAGTATTGATTGGTAGAGAATTCCATTATCGTGACAACCCTACTAGACACAATGCAGTGTTCATTAAGGCTTCTATTGAAAACAAATTACATAGGATATTACTTTCTGACAGATAACACAAATACTGTATAGTAAAGGATGTTTTCATGTACAGCTTTTGCATTCTTGTTTTGTACAATAAATAGTGCAGAATTGTAAATCAAAACAACCAAAGATTCATTTGAAAACATTGGCACAAATAATTTTTTTTTTATTTACACAAGAATTTCTACTTGGAGTTTACACAGCAGAATACAGAGAATATGAAATTATTTCAAATTATATAGGCAGATACAAAAAAAAAAAATCTATTTTAGTATAAAAGCAAATCTAACTGGTGTGAACTGCTATGAAGGGGCCATTTAAATTTGAAATAAAATTTCAACTGTGCCTGACGTCAAAATGTGGAATATTAAACCAAAAACTAATCTCTCCATAGACAATGATGAACATTAATGCTTGAGGGTGATAAAACGATATTTGCCCAAAGAGTTCTTCCACTTTAAACTTTTTAATCTTTCTTTATAAGCTGTTCATTTAAAACAGCTTTCTTTCAGATATGACAAAATGGCAGTGGGTCAATCAGACATGGATGAGAAAGATTACACAAGCGTAATATCAGTGAAAAGCAATAAAGGAATCTGACGCACAATAAATGATTTATGGTCTTAGTGGTTCTAATGTAAAAACAGAAACAGTGAAAGCATGTAGTGTGCGTGTGACCTCAGGTTTGAAATGTTCACTTTCTCCTCAAAGTGCCACCTGCAGGTAAAAAAATGGACTTGGCATTAATTTAGTTCTTCAAAATAACTGAACAAACATATAATTAAACACACTCACTAACCTTTTCTAAAGCAACTTCAATTCCTCCTTCCACGCTGTCTGCCCGTACGGTTGCCCCTCGGGTAGAAGTTCTGTCTGGGATGTTCTGGTTTTCTTTGACGTGAACCCTGCTGGAGAACCAAAATAGATCATCATAAGAACAATAATTCTTTTTAAAATATAAATCTTATATATAAGAATTTGAATGGCTTGATATGGTACAACTCTCTTAGTAAAATATGTAGTAGAAAAGCAATGAAAGACTTGCATTATTAAAAACGTTCTGTCTGGTAGCTGCTGGCATTCTTTGACGTGGAGCATCCTGGAAAACCAAAATTGATCATTTTAGAAATCAAACTCTCTTAATGAAAATTCTGCCATCATTTACTTATCCTTGTTCTGAACCAGTTTAAAGTAAGTTGTACTAAAATATGTATATAAAAAAAATAGTTTTGTGTTCAACAGAAGAAAGAAAATCATAAAAGTTTAGAACCACTGAAAGTAAATGGTGAGAAATTATTTTTATTTTGGGGTGAATATCCCTTTAAGACCTACACTCACTGGCCACTGGTCACTCAGCCAATTGCATTGCAGCAACTTAATGCATGTAGACATGATCAAAATGATCTGCTGCAGTTCAAACCGAGCATCAGAATGGGGAAGAAAGTTAATTTAAGTGACTTTGAATGTGGCATGTTCTGAATGCACAACACGTCCAACCTTGAGACAGATGGGCTACAGTGGCAGAAGACCACACCAGTGGTGGCATTCCTGTCAGCTAAGAACAGGAAACTGAGGCTATAATTCCGCAGGCTTAACAAAATTAGACAATAGAAGATTAGAAAAACGTTGCCTGGTTTGATGAGTCTCAATTTCTGCTGTGACATTAAGATGGAAGGGTCAGAATTTGGCGTCAACAACATAAAAGCATGGATCCATCCTGCCTTGTATCAAAGGTTCAGGCTGGTGGTGATGGTGTGGGGGATAATTTCTTGTCACACTTTGAGCCCATTAGTACCAATTAAGCATCATGTCAAAGCCACACCCTACCTGAGTATTGTTGCTGACCATGTCCATCCTATTATGACCACAGTGTACTCATCTTCTGATGGCTACTTCCAGCAGGATAATACACCACATCATAAAGCATGAATCATCTCAGACTGGTTTCTTGAACATGACAATGAGTTCACTGTACTCAAATGGCCTCCACAGTCACCATAGCTCAATCCAATAGAGCACTTATGGGATGTGGTGGATAGGGGTGTAACGATACACTCAGCTCACGATACGATGTGTATCACGATATAATGTTTACGATTCGATATGTATCACGATATTTGGAATAAAAATTGAAAATTAAACTGAAATGCAAATTTTACCAAGTAAACTATTTTTTATGTATTTCTTTTGTTTCAACTTATGAACCTTCTTTAAGAAAATAAATTAAACAGGCCTGTCTCTGGAAAATAAAACAATTAAAAAACTTCTTTAAAATATTATTGAAATGACAGAGACAAAATTAAGGAACAATTTAAGTAAAGGTGCAAAAAAAATAAGCTTTCTATTCAATTGAATTTAACAGTAAGAGCTTAAGGCTTTGCTTGCGTTTTTTGTGTGTGCAAAAAAAAAAATCCACATTTCCAGGTATTTAATTCATATTTAATTAAATTAATTTAGAGATATCTCTAATTACAATTGTGACTAGTCAAAACTCATTTAGAGATATCTGCAAATATTTTTCAATGGAAGTCAATGGAGGAATATGACTAGTCATAATATATTTGCAGACATCTCCAATCTGATTTCGTACTAGTACAATTGTAATTGCAGATATCTCTAATTGTCATTCTGACTAGTCGAATTATAATTATGACTAGTCAAAATATAATTAGAGATATCTCTAAATGTATTTATGGATAGTCAGAACAAAGGTTTAAATGCTAAAACGGCTTGCCATACGCGCGTCTATCAGTCCGCCCTCTGTAGTAACAGCTCACGGTCAGTTCACGTCATGTGTGATTTTGCGGCGGGAACATTATATGAAGACAGAATGATATTTTAGGGTGAATTGTACCTTATAAATACAGTATGTGACTCTTTCAACACCATTAGGAGGTATCTCTGTCGCTGTGCAAAGTATGTAAATCACTGTGAAGACTTTAAAACTTAGGATGTTTGACCCAGTATGCGTGTCAAAAAGCAGACGAGTCTAAAGCTATGACTGTACAACCGAAATGTTGCCAGACGTCTGATTTTGAGAAGATGGGCCATCCTCTATTTCAGCTCCACTCATCTTGGTCTGCTAACATTACTGCTGCTGCAATCTGAACTCACGTGCGACAGCAGGTGGAACGTAGCTCACGTGCAAACAGCTCAATAAGAGAAAACGGACATCATATTGTGATCAAATCGTCATAACGCCCCGATGCATATTGTGACATTTTTGCATCGCAATAAATCGTACAACGATAAATCGTTACACCCCTAGTGGTGGAGGAGATTTGCATCATGGGTCTGCAGCCAACAAATCTGCAGCAACTGTGTGATGCTATCATGCCAATATGGACCAAAACCTCTGAAAAATATTTCCAGTACCTTATTGAATCTATGCCATAAAGAATAAAGGCAGTTCTAACATGGTACTAGTAAGGTGTACCTAATAAAGTGGCAGATGAGTGTATATGGCTTAATTTAACAGTGCCTCTTAGTGAAATATGCAGTAGAAAAGACTTACGTTATTGAAAATGTTCTGTCGGGTTGGCTCTGGCATTCTTTGACGTGGGGCATCCTGGAAAATTCAAAATTGAAAATTATTAAAAACACCAAATATTTGTGAAAGAATCCACAGTTATAAAGACTTTGCATAATGTATAATTGTGCAGAATTGTGTCTTAGTGTAATATTTAATAGAAAATCCTTGAAAGATTTAGGATATTTAAAATAAATCCACATTTATTTTGGACTATGTAGGCAGCGCTATTTCAAATGGTCAAAAATTATAATACTGATACATTTGCTAAAACAAAAGAAGTCATCGATATCTTCACAAAAACTGTATTTTGCTCAACAACTATCTAAACAATACAAGATAGTGAGTAAATTATCCAGTGAGAAACAGCTTAACGTCTGTGATGCATCATTCATAACTGGAGAACACTCTACACTTTACTTTACATCGGGTTAGGATGGCATTTGGTGTTTCTAGTCACTTCAGTTTCTTAGCACACATTTCAATCGATATCCACTGGCATTTAAACTCATAACAGAGCAACAAAAACTAACTATTTTACATTTACACGAAGTCAGAATTCAAAATTTCCTGTGATTTATTTTTCTTTTTAAATTTTTTACCAAATTATGTTTAACAGTGCAACTGACATTTTCTAGTCTGATATTTTTTCTTCTGTAGAAAGTCTTAGTTGTTTTATTTTGGCTAGAATAAAAGCAGTTAATTAAAAAAAAATTAAAGTCAATATTATTAGCCCCTTTAAGCTATATTTTTTGATAGTCTACAGAACAAACCATTGTTATACAAGAACTTGCCTAATTACCCTAACCTGCCTAGTTAACCTAATTAACCTAGTTAAGCCTTAAAATGTCACTTTAAGCTGTATAGAAGTGTCTTGAAAAATCCAGTCAAATATTATTTACTGTCATCATGGCAAAGATAAAATAAATCAGTTATTAAAACTATTATTTTTAGAAATGTGCTGAAAAAAATCTCTCCGTTAAACAGAAATTGGGGGGAAAAAAAATAAACAGGGGGGCTAATAATTCTGACTTCAATTGTGTATACATCAACATTCAGCACCAGCAGCTCACAATGTGCAACCAATGGAGGACATCAAACTAATAGTCCAAAATGACTGTGGGTTATTTTAATCTTTTATGCACGTCATATTTTACTTCATAAAGAGACATTGTTTATGTTGCATTATGCAATACAAGTTTTATTTTCTGAGGATCCATTTAAAAAAATCTATAAGAATTAGGGCTGTAACGATACACGATATAAAATCGAAATCGCGACACTCAGATCTACGATCCTGTGTCGCGGTGTGATAAGGGAGAATCGCGACACACCCCGTGAATACCTTTCCAATAACGTCACGCGTGCCTGCAAAAGTTGAGCTAATAAACACTTTTTTTCGTTCAACATTACAAGCACTGCTCCGTTTAAGCCCTCGCAATATTTAGCCGGGAGAGCTTGCACGGAGCTCTTAGTAAGGGACCGTCTGAATGTGTCAAGAATATCAAAAACAAAACCAACTTAACCTCGCTTGACAACCAAAAACGCCAGAAACATTGCCAATGCTGTCAAAGCGGCCGGATTTTCAGCGC